ACTTTCAGCATTTATTGGCACCGTGTTGTTGACCATTCGCTTGATGCACCAATAATGAAGTTAAATATTATTATTTTGTTCGGTTTCAATGCATACATTTTTTTGTTATAAAATTTGATAGTTGGTTATTAATATCTACTGATATCCATGGAATGGGCACACTTCTTTAATAAGCAGTAATAATAAGTGGTAGAATTTATATTTCTCATATTGATTGTTCTATTAGTCAACTCGTAAAATAACTATAAGTTATTACAATGATAAATATAATAAAAGACTTAAAATTGAACAGACATTTATATTGAACGAATTTTGTTGAAAAATAAATTTAATATTTTTTTTATTTTAAATATTTTATTTTATGTTTTCATGGTATACGTAATTTTACAGTATACGTAATTACAGTTCTGCTATATTTTCCAATTCACCACTTCATAATCAATCAACACATTACTGTTATATTACAAGTGGCTTTAAACCTGTTAGATCGCGTAAAAGTTCAACTTAGGCAGAAAATTTTCACCCTGTTCCAGAAAATCTCCCCTCCTTTTAACCTTCGTGCGCTCGCTGGGCTCTAATTCATTTCATTACCAAGTTAATAAATAAATATGCCATATATAACATAAATTTAATACCTATGAATTAGTATTTAATAATTAGTATAATTGGACATCATCTGTTCATACCTAATAACTAAAATTTCCATATTATCTAGCAAAAGTGTGAATTTAAACTGTTACATCGAATGACAAATCAACTTACATTGCACATGATTTAAAGTTCTAAAAAAAATTAATAATATGAAAGTGGTAAAAAAGGATGTATGTTTTAGTGGTGTTCTAAACAGTCACAACTATGATTAAGAAGTAAAGGCAGTATATGAATAAAAAAATTCATGGTTAGTGGCATATATTAATAGATCCATGGTAAATGGAATGGACCACCTGACTAGAAAGTATAACTACGAAGGTGGTCCAAATGCGGGATTATAAATCACGTATTCTTTTGAGTTGGCCGCTATTTTAGCTATCTCGCGCACTTTCAGTCGTCTACCAATATGAGATCCTACACATTTGTCACCTTATCCTTCGTGGTAGCAGTTTTCGGGGCACCTGCTTTTGACTCGTTAAATTAATTTTTGACAGACAAATATCAAACCACCGACCATATATTTATCTTGCGATATTGGCGCCATTCGGTGAGACCAAATAATTCAGAGCTTTAAAAAGCTCAAAATCATATTTCCGCGAAGGCGGAGTTTCGCAGGGATTCGATTTAATAAGATTCCAATGAAATTTTGGGAGAAAAAGAAATATTTTATACACAAAACAACGCCTGCCCCAAAAGTATATAGTATTGCCACTAGTTTAAGATGCACTACCACATGTGTGAAGTATGTATTTCGAAAGGGCGTCGCTTCGGTGAACACCTAGCTAAGCTTCAATGTCACGTTACAGCCATTAATGCGTGTAATTGTGACTTCATCAACGCGAAAGACGTGGCTTTCCAATTATTTCTACATCATGGCGTTACTAATTATTTACTATAAACTGTATTCATTTGAAAGTGTGGGTGTTGATTTACGCCGAATTAATTTAACAAGGTTAGCTGGGAAGGCTAAATGTTACTTAGAATGTGCAGGAAGGCTGCATTTTCTAGTTGTTGGTATAGATAAGGTCTAGTAAAAATAAAATCATTAGATGAATGTTTTATAAAGCTTAGGTAAAATCATCCGATTAAGTTCAAATATAAACCATTTTAAGCGATAACATAGAAACCTTCGTCCTTATTGGCAAACCACTGGGTAACCATCCGCTTCAGAAATCGATCGATTTTGTTGCGATCTAGCAGTGATTTGCAGATGGAAATTCGGTCCATGAGGTTTGATGGCGTTTAGCTCTCGGGCAATCGAAACAGTGCTTACATAATGATCGGATTTAACGATTTCCATTAATTTAGCGACATTTCGAAAAGTGGCCTTCCAGAGCGTGGTGGATCTTTGACACCGAAATTACCCGAACGGAATCAACGTTGGTGTCCATCTTAGAAGAGTATCTGAGAGTACGAACTCTTATCATTTTCATGCCATATAGCATAATCCGATCGCGCTTATACAAATCTAGATACGGATTATTATCCATTATTTCCGGCACCTTTGAATGTCTCGTTATACATAGCTATGTATTTCTGTCGCTTTTGTCGCTATAGACAGGTTGACATCATTTATGAGCGAAATCAAACTGCAACCACGCCCACTTTCCATGTAATACCATTATGTTATAATTTAAGCCAGCATCAATTTCCTCACAATAGATACATTTGACATCAGTGAGGGTTTCGAAACTGAATTGAGTACACATAGTGTCCCTGATACGTATAAAATTCTAATTGCAAAAATTAGCGAAATTCAGTTCATTCGGTTGACTTTTTACGTTATATATGGCAAAATATGTGAGATATCTTAAAAAAATTTGTTGAAACAATTTGACTAAAAATTAATGAAAACGGTTCAAATCTCCAACTAACTTAACCAAATATAATGGCTTTATACTGTACTTGTAGGTTAGCAAGCAAATGGTTTCATGCTATAATTAGATGAGAATGTTAGCTCAACATAACGCACATAGCTTTAGAAAATAAATCACAAAAAAGTCTGTACTTGGCCAGTTAAAAGATACTGCTGAAACTTAAAAATGCTCTGGATTAAATTTCTTCTTCTCTTGCGAAGCGCTCAAAGGCAATTTTAAGCCCATTTTTTAAGTAGTTAAGTCATTTCAATTCCTCACTTTGATTTTTTAAAACTAGTGCCATGCAAATTCTAGTTATACCAACGTCATCTTGCTTGATTGACTTTCAAGTTGTGCTTTATAAACATTATGTACAATTGGAATTTGTTGCATACGCAGTTGTCATAAATGGGATAAGATAATTTAGCTTTTAAAACTGTCAGTCACTGAGCTGAGTTGCAAATGTTGCGAATGAATGTTAAAACCAAAGTGCATTTTATTTGAATTCAAATAGTAAAAACCCAAAATTTATGTAGCATTAAGTAAAATACAAACAGATGGGATCTTCCATATTTCTCTGTTTTCATCACTAGCATGGAACAATTTTAAAGCTGCAGGCTCTTCACTTTACTCTATTCCATTCTTATCCAATTATTCCTGCGACATTTGCATGCAACGCAAAAAAACTAATTTCAAGCGAACACTGGCAAGACCTTGAGCCAAGACAAATCACTCTTCTCAGTGCTACGCCCTAAATAAAACGAACTGTCAAATTTGCATAGTATTATAATTGTAAACAAAGCCATATTCTTCTTTCTTTCGTGACGTAACGAAATGTATTGTTTTTTTGACTGTCAAATGCATTCGGAATAAAATAATGAGAGGAAACTACCGTATATGTCTATTTCTACAATCTTCATCTATATACATACATACATATTAGGGTGGATTTTTATTTTTTATTTTTTTTTGCTTAGCCTGAGGGTAAAAATTGTAGACTATAAAAAAAGAAAATGTTTGGACAAAAAAAAATTTCTTTAACATCTAGAGGCGGCTCCCTCAGTTTATAGTAAATTTTCGAGTTAAAATTTTTATTTCGTAAAAAAGTTTTGATAAGTCTTCTAGAAGCTGTAGAGAGTCTTCTTTCTGGCCAATTAAAAGTTATCAACTTAAAAAAAAATGTTTGTGGTCATTATTAGAGTTTTAAAAAAAGTCTTAAACGTCAACATGCATTCCTTAAGCGTTAAACAAATTTTAAGTCAAAAACAGTCACATTCGGTAATTTTTTTTATAAATGCAAAGAGCTTAAAACAAAAATAATTTTTTCTTGTCCAAAAAAAATTTTAACTCGAAATTTACTTTAAAATTGAGTGGGCCGCCTCTAGATGTTAAAAAAATTTTCTTCTTTTATAATCTACAGATTTTACCCTCAGGCTAAGCAAAAATAAATAAAAAATAAAAATTTCGCCCCACCCTAATACATACCAAATATTGGCCATCTCACTCTTCTAATCAACTTCTGCACTCTTCATGACCTGTTAAAAAGGATCAAGAGGTGATATCGAAATTTTAATGAACTCCATTATACTCCCTCCAGATAATATTGTTTCCATTTCTACGTATCGGATGGGATAACGCAGATATAATACAATACAGCGCGTTGAAGAAGCATCTACACAGCTACACACTGAATCTGGTTTGGCCACACCGCATATCAGAATCGAATCATTTCACAATTTCGTTGTTGAGGTTCTTTGTATGAACTATCTATGATAGACCTTATAAGGGTTGTACACGTCGCACAGGTTTTTAGTTTCTGATGGGGGTTTTATGGACATGTATTCCATAAGAGGGTGATTAAATATGATAAAGTTTATTAATTTTTTATACAATTTTTGAGCTTTTTCCTTTTGATTATAGTATATATATTCATAACAACGTTACAAAAATTCAGTTAACTTCTTTAAAAAAAATTTTACAGGAAACGTCAAGAGTTTTGCTTCAGAAACATGCATACGAGTATGTGTTTATTCATCTGGGAACAATGCGTGTCTGGCAAAACTTTCTAGTGACAAATTTTCCAAGCGGCTGCATATGAAAACCCCCACTAAGAAGCGGCAAAAGGCAGCCGTGGCGAATCTAACAAAAACCCGACACACTTTGTCACTTCATTTTGGCCAGCAGCAGACAATGGCTAAGTGCTGGTGGCAAGTTGACAAATGCAGAATAATAAATAGAAACGACGATTTTGTACCAAAAACGCGAGAAAAAATAAGCAAAAATACACCAAGCCAATATCAAAAGCAATGGAAGAGAGTAATAGCAGCAGAATTAAAGAGAGCTTATTGGTGGGAAGAGACTTGAGCTTAGCGCTTGCAACCGCTCTTTGGTTTACAACGCGTGTATGTATATGTGTAGTGTCTTCAGCGGCGAAAATAACGCTCTTCTTAGCCAAGTTCGCGGCATTAAAGATGGCTTAAAGTGATCAGTTAACGAACTCGCTTGAAAGATAACAGTCGCGTGTGCGCAGAACAAAGTGCTAACAAAAATTTGTGTAACGAAGAAGAAACTTCACTTATTTATTTGTCTTGAACTTCGGTTTTTTTAATTTTTTTAGGTGCTTGGTACGAGTTCAGTGTGAGTTAAGTTGCAGCAACGGCGGCAACAAGCGAAAATGGCAAAAACCTGTTGATAAATGAGCTTAACGGTTGTGTATGTGTGTCTCCATGTGTGAGCAAGCGGCACCTCAACTATTCAATCGCTCGAAAGTAATCGCTCTAATTTCCATTTTAAACACCCCCCGCGCCGCTGTTGTGGCTTCCGGCTTGCTTAGGTGCAACATTGTAGACATTGGCGAATTTATCAATTTGCTTAATACTATTCGTATTTGCTAACTGTTAATTGGACTTTCTAAATAAGTGGATTACTTGCCAACTAATTTAATTACTATTGAACGGCCTTAACAAAAACAACAATATCAAAATACAATATCGTGGCAAGTGTTAATGAAAATTTTCAAACAATTACAAGACTTTCCGAAATTTTCCGAATTAAAGAAGAAGAATTTTGGGGGAGTCAGCATACAAGAAAAAAATGATTTTATTACCTGAAATAAATCAGTGTGCCAGCAAAATAAGGAATGTTAGTTATAAACAAACACATACACCCAACTGTTTTGCTCTGCGAAAATGAAAAAAACATTTTTTCTTGCGTGTCACGTTCGCCTTGAGTGAAAGGAGTTAAATGCACTGGAAAACGCCACAACAGCAGCAACAACATTGATATGAAGCTGCATCCTTTTCCACTTAATAACTCGTTTTCTTGGTTTAGTGGTAGATAAATGCAGTTAAAGCGCCAAGTGGACGCATAAGCTGAATTATATAAACTTTTTTCTCCTTACATTTTGCAGATATTTTTTCGTATTGTTGTAAGTGCGTGTGTTTTTAAAAGTGAAAAAGTAAAAATATTAAGTGCTGTGAAGAAAATATTTGTACACAACAAAGTATATCATATATACATACAGAAAAACATAAAGTGTTAATAAAATGCCTTCAGTTGGATGGTGAAATCTTTGGCAAGAGATCTCGAAAGATAACAGCTTCAGATAATTACTCCCGAAGAAGCATAATGAATTGTATTAATCAACCGAAAGTACAAGGTTGTAAGGAATTCGAAGGAGAAGTGATGTGCCTCGAAAGCAGAAGTGGTAAGTGAACGCAAATTTTGGAAATAGTTCGTTTGAGTTCACTTTTACTTTAATAAAGTTTTAAAATGTATATAATGTCATATATACAGGTATACATATATCATATAAGCAATGATTTCAGAATACGTGAATAGGAGTTAGAATAGATTTCACTGTTAATAAGTATTTAATTAGCAAGTAAGAGACACTGAGTTTTGGGGTTGTTCGTAATCTGTAAGTCAAATGTGGTTTAGGATGCTTCGTTAGAAAGGCTGTTTCTTATACTAAATATTATATTTTCTCATTTTACGACACGATGTGACAAATAGAAGATCGAGACATACCGATCGAATTGTACGGGGAGTGATCGGAATGGAAACATGTGTTAATTTGCAAAGATAAAAAAGTTTTCGCAAATTGATCGCGCAAAGGAAAAACGTTATTTTTTGCACGCACTTTATTTTATACATTTCATATATTTATACTCTTGCAATAGTGCTACAGAGTGTAATAATTTTGTTCAGCTAACGGTTGTTTGTATATCTAAAAATAATCGAGTAATATTAGGGCTAATTGGTGTAAAAGATCAGGATTAAGAGAGAGTTGAAATCCGGACACCCCTATCGACAGTGTGAAAATGGGTAAATCGGGTGACAACCCCGCCCTTTATAGGAGCCAAAACAAAAATTTGACAATGGGCGTGGCAGCACCCACTTTTAGGGAAATATCTCGGGACTGCTTGACCGGTTTCAACCAATTCAGTAAACTCATATAATATCCCATGTTACAGTGCGAAAATGGAAGAAATCGGACTACAACGCGTACTTCCCTCTACATACAAACTATTTTAAATTCCATTGATTCTCTCTTTTGGTATGCAAATCATACAAAAACTAATGCATCGGGATACAACTTTGCACCGAAACTGCCTTAAAGTATACATCATATGTCCCAAAATGTCCAAATCGAACTAAAACTGTTCAAGCCCCAATCACCGATAACCTATAGTTGACTTTTTGGTATATATATAATTTTCCTTATGATACTATGTCTGATGTCAAAAATGGGTTAATCAGGTCAATACTCTTACCCCATATACGAATATAAAGATTTTGAACTCTGACTAGCCATATATGCCAATTGTGATATCATATTGTACATAGGATATTATACATGACCAGTAGTATTTATGTATGTGGCATGCTAATAGTTGTTATTGCAACAATAACAAATCTGGTCAATACTACCCAACTTCTATAAACTACATTGTATAACGATTTCAGTTTTTCTCAAGTTTTATGTCGAATATGTCGTTAATGTGTGAGTTATATATTTAAAATTGCTTGAAAAATATATTCTTAAGTATACCGAGCAATTTCCAAATCAATGCCACAGCTCGTCATTTCTTTGCCCCAATATGCCCATATAATGATTTCCGTCTTTCCGGATTATTCTTTATGGCCTTCAATATAAGTCAAGAAGAACCAAACTTGATTGTAACTTATTCACGATTTCATCGAATAATGGATGTTTAATTCTTTCGCAACATTTTTAATATAAGTTTTGTCAGCACCTAAAGGTATTTCCCGAGCTTTGATTTTGCAAGTTGCAAAGTATAAAATGTTGGGTAGAACCGAACTTGCCCTTCCTTGTTTGTTGAGTATTTTATTGAGTTGGCTTAGGGTCGCATATATTATAAAACATAAATGTAACATGTTGAGTTGTTTTTACACTTTGATTTCTTTTGACTTTAATTAATGAAATGAGTTATGGTTTTTGTGCATAAACAAAAGTATGTTCATGAGTCTCTTTCTTGTTCACACATATTCTAATTAGCCTGTACTTGTACAACTCATAGTCGAGGCTAAGAGCGCAGAGATACAGTAGATAGATATAGACATGTTGTTTGACATAAATGCAAAATTGAAAGAAAACTTTATCGACGGCTTTTTAGGGCTAAAGGTTAGTTTAGGTTTTGTGGCCCAACGGAGGTCATAATCGAGCAGCTATCAGAACGGATTATTACAATTATACTCTGCTTAAGCGATTTCTATTCTGGATACCTGAAGTGAGATCCACGGTGTGTCAGACTTCAAGTAGAAAAGCGGAACAAACAACGGAAGTGGAGAGCTGAATCTATCTAACAGCAGAAACTCTACAACTAGGAGAATCTCCTTTATCATTTCAAAGCACAAAAATACGAAAATAACAGGAAATATAAAACTATAAATGAAGAGTAAATTATACTAAATGTCTTTTAAATGAGTAATTTGAACAACTTTTGTCGCCTTCACAACCTGTTTCGTGTTAATATCTTTGCATCGTTTTAACTTCTCAGTCTCTCCAACTCTCCAAGTTGTAGTTATTATGAAGATAGCCACTACTCACAACTTTTCAATAAAACATAAATACACAAAGCCAAAAAGATCTATATTTCAGGGAGTAATTTTCTTCATCGCATCTGTTTTGATATTAATATTAATATTAGATGAGCTAAGAAATTGAAAGCTTATTTCATATTGTATAATCTTTTATATTGGCCTTATGTTGACGACACTTTCTTTTATTCAAAAATACTTAATCGCGTGGTTGTGAAACCGAAAAGTAGAAACCCAAAACAAAAAGTCTTCACGAATTCACCAATATAGCAGCGTTAAAAATCACAAAAAAAGGAAGCAAGACGCTCTTCACCCAAGATTTGCTTAAGTTCACGACGCAGCAAAATCTCCAGCTGTAGCAAAAGCAATCCCAACTCCATTAAACAACAAAAAAAGCAATAAAATAAACCTTTCCAACTTGTTGTGCATACTTATATACGCACACACATATGTATGTGTAAATATTTCATTGCCCCGCTTCAGCTGTGTGCAGCACAGTGAAAAGCTTTCATTTAATATGCACAGAGCTGTTAATTATAAAGTCATCACTGGTCGACAGGGTTTACGGTGATGGGATGTGAGTTGGAAGGTACTGAAATTAATTTAATGAATATTTTATGACTGTGTTATTGGATAAAGTCTGAGGTTAGTATTCGCCTAGCAAAAAACATTCACTGGTTTTTTTTTTCCAAATGTGATGAGTACGCCTTTATTAAACTCAAAGGAAATTAAAGTAATTGATTACTGTTTACATACAACCGTAATAAGTGTGTTACACTATATTTTTCTCACTTAAAAATTGCACTCAAATGTTTTAAATTTTCACTTCTGTGCATAACTATTTTGATTGTATTCGTTAAAATGTATATTAATGTAACTTAGATGCAATTGGTTGAAGAGGTATAAATAAAGAAACAATTGTTGACACTGCTGATAAGTAATTATCGTCAAGCCCTTAAAAAAATTGCATGAAAAATCCGCCGCTTGCGGATTTTTAAAGCTTACCGTAATTCTCATTCGGCCCATATACTTTTGAATATAAAACAAGTAAAAATGTTGCTTTGATCGCTCAGTTTGTAAGGCTGTTACATGCTAGGGAAGTCCGATCTGTGAAATTTTTTTTGTGCTTGACAACGATGCCTTAAACAATAATCCAATCCAAATTTCGTGAAGGCACCTTAACAAATAAAAGAGGTGTCTGTACAAGGATTTAAGTTTTCTGGCTCAGTTTATATGGCAGCTATATAATATAGTGGTCCGATATCGGCGGTTCCAACAAATGTGAAGCTTTTTTGGGAGAAAAGGTTGTCTACAAAATTTCAGATCAATATCGCAAAAACTGAACTAGTTCGCGTATATACAGACAGACAGGCATGGGTAAATCGACTCAGCTCATCTTGCTGATCATATATATTTTATAGGGTACCCGACGTTTCCTTCTGCATGTTATAAACTTTGTGACAAACTTAATATATGTTCAGGGTATAACAATGTTGCAGTTAATGTAATATATTTTCTTAAAAATGGCTTAACCGATTTTATGGAAACATCACTGCTTGCAGTTCCATCAGTAGGTCCAGAGGTATAATCGCAGACACGAGCATGATTTTCTATCAAAAAATCTACCCGATATTTGCCATTAGACTTATTTAAATTTTGGATCTCACAATCATCTCATTAAATGAAGTATTTGGACCATATATAAATAGGATATTTAATGCTGTATTCGAAATATTTCAGAAATTCTAACTAACATATAAATAAATATGTTAAGAATGTTTTATATATAGTATCACCATGACGCTAAATAGAAAATATTATATCATAAATGGCTATATTAAATGATAACCGTTATAATTAATTTAACCACTTTATGAGAACAATACATAAAAAATATACTAAGCCAATGGCAAGGTAATTATGGTGTTATACTTTGAAGAAAAAATTATTTCCACAGAATCCGTAGAGAATTTAACAAATACTTCTGATTTTACAAAACAGGCACCATTAAACTTACTTTGTAGTAATATCTATAGTTGTTAATTCTTGGTTGGATTAATTGTCTGGTGTTGCGGAGCGCAACCGAAAAAATGAAGTAGTTATTATACCCTATTTTGCTTTAGGCTTTTTTTGCTATGCTAGAAGCTAACACAATGATATAATTTATTATTTTCTACTTTCTCCATAAATTACTTAATTCAAGGCAGAAAATTTCGCCAATAGGGATGATTAAAACATCTTCAAACATTACCAGAATTTTGACATCCATTTATTAACATGTTTGAAAAGTTGAAAGTATTCGGTATTAAATATATGTATGTACGTATATCACTCAATACCATAAATGGATGATTGAAAAGATATTCAGTGTGGATACCACTCGTCACCAACGCTTGAAATCCGGGTGGAATAAATTATGAAAGTAA